GTGCCCTGTTAACAGACAGGGACCAATCGACGCGCTGCGCCCACTATCTCGTCGACTGCTCTGCGTCACCGCACTGTCAGCGGACGGCGAACACGCGAATGGGCGCGCCCGGGCCGGTGGGCCCGCCGCCCGAGTCGGCGAGAGATACACGAACGGAACATGTGGCCTGCTCGTCAGGCCGGTCTCGGGGGAAGGCAGGAATGTTGCGAGCTCCGGCACGCGGCCTGTCACGATACCGCCCGAAAGTAATCACACCATCACGCGACGGCCGCCTGTTCCGCCCTGCACCTGCGCATGAGCACGACAGACCTCTCGCCAGAATCCAAACGTCCGCATGCAGGAAACCTCGCTCATATCCCTGCTGTTTTCTCACAGCTCGGGCTGAAACATTTCAACCAATACTGAGTTGACAGCGCAACAGCCCAAATTGATATGAGTACTACGTAGCACAGTCCAGTGCTCTGTTCGCGGACGAGATGTGCAGCAGACCGTGCTGTCAGGCGCCCTGCATGACAGCAAGCCGCGGCGACCGTGCTGCGACGCCTGTCAGCCCGGACGCTCTGACCTTGATCGGCGCCGGAGGTCACATTTGGGAGCCTGGCGGGACACGAGGGCGGCGGGCGCCCGGCCGGATCGATGATGTCCCGCCCTCGAAGTAACGGACTACCGGACCAACGGACGAACGGACGGACGAACGGACGGATTCGTGACCAGGCCGGGCATACCAAGCTTCACAACGGAGTCTTTAAGCCTAGTTTCTCTTCTGCATAGGCTCCCGTAAGTTCATGGTTCGTTCGTTCATAAGTTCGTAAGCTCATGATACAATGGTCTTATCGAAAAATGTGGCGCCGAATTCAAAACACTTCGCTTGATGTCGCCCTACACTCAAACGTCGTTTAAAGAGGCCACGGACGTTCATTGTGTAATCGATGCAACCATCTTAAAAATAATTCGTGAGGGACACAAAATCAGGCTGTATTTCTACTTTTGGTGCTCACTAGTGCGTAGTTGTTGAAAATATCGCTAGCCCACAATGCATCTGTCGGGAAGTGGTCTTGGTTTCCCAACTGACACCTCTGACGTCAGCATGGGGGAAATGGGGTCACACACGATAGGCGTATAGTCGAGAAGATTGCAAGTCGTTATGCATTCCAATTGGCGTTGTTCGGCGGTATTTCCAAACAATGTCGTGGAGATTGTTGTGCTTCATTGCCCAATAGTGAACAAATAACTTTGAATTTCCTTTACTGACTGCAACCGGTCTCAAAATGAGTCAACGTTAGAAACGTGCTACGCACGTACCGCACACGCTTGAACAAACACAGCCCTTTGTAAGCTGACGGGGCGTGCTCCGTGTGGGCTGGTGCCGAATTCGAAGAAAACTCCGGCCATCGTTACTAAGACGAAAGCGTCCTGTCTGCGAGACGCATCGAACATACACACTCAAGTTCGTCCGGCAACTTAAGAGCTTTCAGTAGACTCAGTAAGCTGTGACACCACACGAAAAGATTCGGCGAGTTTTGCACCAAGTGCAATGGCTTGTTGCATTCTGACGATAGTTCAGGCAACGTTAAAGGTCACGAAGTGCTATTCCAGTGGCACCAATGTTCCCCAGCGTTGCTCATTGCCGGCCTAGTGGCGCCCATAATGGCCCCATTCATCTCATAATGACCAATTTTGAACGTTTCAACCAATACAGTAAGCCATACAGCATACCGTAAGCATATCAAAACTAAGCTTCCTGATGAAAGAAGATTTATATCCTCATGGCATAATGGTGGACCCTTTGATATCCACCGAGACATCGGGGATCATAAAATAAATGGACTGGTTTGAGCGCAACATAAAATCAGGATGTCGATCATCCTCGGTGTGACGGCCCAGAAAGGACCGATTTAACATAGCTCACCTGGTAACCTTGCTTGAGAAAGTTGCTTTCGCCATCAGATCCCTGAGGAGGGCGCCGTTAATTCCGATCGCTTGGACAGCTCCATCCAAGCCCACCGGCAGCCCGAACTCGGGGTTCAGGATAAACGGAGAGCTGTGGAGTACATGGTAACAACTTAAGTTGTTATTGTTAAATCACATAACTGATGAGACGATGTGGTTCTCATCGTAACAAGTTTTCAAGACAAAAGGGACGATTATCAGATGTTTCTCGAACTCAAACTGCTTAACTGCAGCCATTCACGAAATAATCAAAGTTCTATTGGTCGCGACGATTCGGTCGTACCAAAATGTCGAACGCAGCACTAACATCTCTTGACAAAGGTAAAGACTACTTACTCGACTCCTCCCACATAGAGTGGCAGGTCGAGGTTAAGCTCGTTTAGGTGACCGGGTGCTGTGCCGCGAATGATGGTGCCATTGTCCACTTGCAAAGAGCCATCTCGATCGAAACGGGTCAGCTTCACTGAGTGCCACTTGTTCATGGTGACCGATTCTTCAGATCTGAAATGAGGTGAATGGTGAATATGGTGAATGTGACGTTAAAGGCCCAAAGAAGGTCAGATGTGCCAAATGAGCACTTTGAAGCCCCTCTTTCTATCTAAAGAACTAAGTGTGCTTCGCATGAAAATTGGGAAGGCGGCGTTGGATGGCTCTTGAGTCGGACTGGTGCTAAAATAGGGGATTAGTCGTGCTACAAATGTTTCCACGCATCTTCCCGGAGCTCTGCAACCAGGATAAAGTTCAGATCATATATATATATATATACATATATATATATATATATATATTTTTAATTCAAGCACACATCAAACAATGTAGATATTTCCACACTTGGCTTTGGCCTTAAGTCCCCGTAAAGCTGGCATATGATAATGCTACCAGCCTTCCATAACGTCCACGTTGCCGCAAACATTTCCAGAAAATCGGCATCATAAGGGACGAACAGCTGGTAGGTACAAAGAAAAGTATCATGCGAATCAGGGGATGCATGAATCTTATGTGCATGTAAATAAAAAGCAGGTTTTCGGTGGCCTAATCCATACTCTTGATAGTCACTCTTAATCACCAATCAATATATTTAGCAACACTATCTCAACAGCGATGAAATAATCACAGACAAAGTCCGATAAAAATATGGTTTATGGCACCACTGGAGTTAACTTAAAACTCTAAGCACAGCACGCAGTGTAAAAAGGGCATGTATGCTTCATGACGCCATGCGATCAATCATAGCATGTTGTGCGAGAAAAATATATGGGATAATATTGCATATGCCTGGTGGTAAAATTGCAGCACCCACAGTAGCGCGATTAGGATGATTTAATTTTTGTTTCAAGAGGAAGATATTATCCAAAGTAGGCACGTTTTTAGAGGAATGCTGCTGATTCTCGATCTGACAAATCAAAAGGAGGAAAATTACAAACATGCGCTAGTGTTACGGCAAATGAGTATTGAAGGCGGTAATATCACTCATAAACTGCATTGCTGGCTCTGGCATAATTAATTCATAGTGTTCCGATTTCAAGCAATTCCTTTTATAAATCAGCCATGTTTGATATGTATCCTGTAATATTGATTGCATCATTTGCATGGTGTGTAGTATGTCTGATTGTGATCGTGGCGGTTTGTGCAAAAAAGTCAGATACGAAGACAGCAGAAGCCGATGAAGGAGAAACAGCTCCCGTCGTTAGTTCAGTTATGGTTGACGCTAGGGGGTAAGTTATCAACGTGGCTCGGCCAATGCAAACGACTCAGAGATGATTTATTGAGCATTGCTTGGACTAGAGCCGACATTCAGTGCATCATAATAGCGCTAATGCACTTGCTCTGCAAACAATTTATTGTCAGGCTTTAACACACCTTGTCAAGAACCAAACTTGTTGCCTCCTGAAAACATGACACCTGAAATAAATCGGACGGTCCTTACCAAGTTCGACATTATTCTTGCTTGCTTTTGACATCGTTTTTAAGTTCATTACTTTTGGCATAACCTTGAAGGGATTTAAGCTACTTGTGTCGGCATTGCGAGCTATTTGGGCTGGAATTTGGCTTTCGATATAACAAAGTTCCTTATCTTTACCTATACACCCCGTTTTTCTTTGCTTTGACGCAGGGGTTTTGCCCTTAAAATCGGTCAATGACAACAAAATGGCAAAAATAATACCATATGCGACTGATAATACAAGGCCATTGTGTTGTAAGCCTTAGTACCTTTACACATAGTTGGAAGCTTGAGTCTCGTCAATTGCATTGTAAGTGCTAATGGCGGATCAAAAGTCATCAAAGGTCAGCCATGTCATGTCAAATCTGGGAAGCTGTTCAAAATATGAAATTGCATTATGTGCCATGGGCTTCACCGTGCGTGAATGCCATGACCGGAAATTCCTACAAGAACTAGGTTTTTCGGCGGAATATATGTCCCAAAACAACAGAGGGGTGACCATCTGGGTCGTGAGGGTTAATCTGTACCCCATCCTGCCCTGTCCTCAAGACATCATTTCATGCTCATATGCCTGTAAACATCTCAGCAGATACAGCGGCGGCCGGCTGAATGCGTGAGCGCACTAGCTATCAAATAGATCCGCTTCCAAGCTTACACCATGTATAAATTAGTTTAAGAATATTTCGTGTTGATAATAACGTGAATGATATTTTTCTGATAATTTTGTCCTCGTACAATGTAAACAAAAAACTGCAGATCAAAGCTTGAGTTACTGAGTAAAAAGTTGCCCTCACATTCTTCTTTGCTGAATATAGTTGTCTTTAATTGACAACATGCATTGAAGCATCGGTAAGAAGGCAGCGCACTTGACCATCATTCACGTGAAAGATGATAAAAATGTTGCAATATCACCGATTGGAAATAACTGGACAAGAGAGAGGAGGACTGTACTAAATTTTGAGTAACACTGTTGAAACGGTCTGCTCTTTGCAACAAAATTACATATAGTTACACAAACGCGGAGAGAAATGCCGCGTTATCACTTCATCCGCTCTTCATTCGCATAACCTTCTGCATTTCTCCAGCTGCTCGACGACGGAGTGCGACAAAGGAGAGGACGAGCACGAAATATGAAGAAAATCTTTGGCATTGGATCGACAAACAAAAAAAGTCATCAAAAATCTTCTGGTGGCGGTGGTGGTGCAGGTGGAGGAGGAGGAGGAGGAGGAGGAGGAGGAGGAGGAGGAGCAGGAGCATCATCACATATTTCTGGAGGAAGCACCGTACCATCCAACAAGGCGAGCAACACAACACCAGAGCACTTGAAAGCAAGACTTTCTCTCGGGGGGGAAGCGGCCAAGCCAACCTATAACCCTCAAACGGGTAGTGGTTTTCAACAAGTAAAGAATAACTTTAAACCAAAGGCTATAAAAGAAGAGGACTTGAAAGCAGAGGATATAGAGGATCTGGACATGTGAAACATTTTGTTCAATGTGTACATGGGTGGTAGCTGCAATATGTACCTAACGTCGTTCATAGGGGATGCTATTTCAGCTGTGATGAAAATTTTAGAACCCTGCCGGCAATAAACAGGCTGCAAAAGATGAATGGAAAAGAGATGAGTATTGTCTGGTTATGTCATACATTCTAACCCAGTTTGTGCATGAATGGTAAACGATATGTACTTAAGTCTTGCATGCAGGTTATTCCGGTCTTGGAAAAGAGCTGTGCATCCCTGCCGATTTATGATAACGTGATATCAGTTGATAATCCACAATGTTACTTAGCCTACGCACATACCGAATTCTGTAAAAGCATATATCACATCCCATACCACAGGAAGTGTTATTTTCGAACAACGATGCACCAGAACATGTGAATTGGTTCCAAGCATGAGTTTTTGTGAGGCTCATTCACTGCGCCTAAGCGCATTAAAGGCCCAAGCTAAAAAAGAACATTACAATCTCCATGTGACATGTGTCGGACAGACCGAAGTGTCATCATCTGCCACGGAAGCCATTTCCTCCAAAGTTGCAATTACTCCAACGAAATCACTTGTTGAATCTATTGTGCTGGCCACCGTAGTTCACGGAGCACCGCCGGTGCATTGACCGCAAGTAGACTACCGAAAGTAAGGACTTTGTATGTATGAATAGACTTTGAGACATAAAGCCCCCTGTGTTTCCTCGGTCTCCCTCAATACCAAAATCAGTGAGACAAGTAAAGACAGCAATGGCAGGAACCAAGTATACCTACGCCAAACTGAGCTGTTTTTACTTAAGGTAAGGGAAACGTTTCCGACGTTTTCTAGCCTGGCTCTATAAACAAGACGACAAAAGGTGGCATGAATAGTTCACACCTATTACTTTTTCCACAGACAGCTTCAACATGGACTGGTAACACTGAATGGATAACGCGCATTAACATCAATGGAAGTCTGATGAAAAACCTTCACAAAATTTCAAAGTGACACCGCTCTCATATCTAGCGTTTTCCGAAATAAAGAAAAACAGACGTAAAATAAAAAGATGACAATGAAGACCTCACTAGCAGTCAGGCTCCGAATTAGTCACTTGCTTCTGATCCACCACATCATTTTTACTTGTGCATCCACGATGAAGCTAGAAATCCTTAACGAATGTGTTCGTATAGTCAAGAGGTTGGACCTGCCCAAACAGCTTTGCGACCTTATTTTATCCAAGCATGATACCAAAGTGTGATTGCTTCTCCACCCCAGCAAATACAAAACAAATCCATCCTCGCCATTGGTTTTGGTCGACACGAACCCTGTTACATATACGTGCATGTACGCAATACACATTGTAGTCACCTCACCATGACCGGGGTAAGTTAAATAGCCATAAAGCGGAAATCCATACGCATTGTGGAAACGTTCGAATACAAGGCCTAAATATTGCGCGAATCTGTCAACGGGCTCAGTCGACTGGCGTATTCAGATTTCCCACGCAAAAACCGCCGCCGCTCGCGACTGTAGATCGGTTGTCGGCGCCGCCAGATTCGGCCGTTGATCGAGCCGGCCGAAGCAAATCGAAGCTCGTTTTTGTCGCACCCGCCTCCAAACACGCCGCCAGATAGGGCCGGGGAGCAGCTCGACCGGCAGCTCCCGGCGGTCGGTGCCAGCCGGCCGGACACTGGCTGGGGCGCGTCCCACCGCATGATCGGGGCGAGTGGCGGCAGCCGGCGGAGCGCCGTGCGTGTCGTGCGATAGGCGCGCCGGCTTTGCCGCGGCGGTGACTCACGGTGACGACCTGACGGCGCCGGCCCGCCGCAGCAAAACAAACTCCCCGCCCCGTCCTCCGCGCACCGACAGCCGACGCGGGCCGTGTCGGGCGTGTCGGGAGGCAGCCGACACGACCGGCACAGGCACCGGTTCGGAGCTGTGCCGACATGTCGGACCACCGAGACGCACCACACGGTCCGACATCATCGCTCCGCTTCGGCCCGGAGCGTTGGGGCGTGTCGGGTGCGTGATGAGCGATTCCACATGTCTTGAGGAAGCCAGGAAGAGTGGCGGCACTGAGAGGAATGTCACTCTTAT